TCTAAAATCATCAGAGTGGGAACAGCGGGTAGAAGATACTTGGGAGATTTTTGTTTGTCCAGCCTGAAATGGTACATGTTGTTTCTACTTTAATTCCACTCCTTAGAACTCCATTCCAAGGCATCAGTTTAACTTCAAGAAAGCTGGGAAGTATTCAAAGTTGAAATTTAGACAAGATGCTGCTGGTAAGCTCCACAATCCCTCCATTTTTTCCTATTCTCATAGCCTTTCTCCAGATCACATCTTAATTATCCTTTACTTTACCACTGAAATAGCCTCATGCATGCTTTCACCTCTACAGTTTTCTTTTCCCCTCAAGTCTAACTTGGGTATCAATCTATCCAGTTTTCCCAAGATATAACAATTTCAGCAGCACTAATAACTTATGGAATTACGGGGTTGAGGGCTTTAACTGTAGTATCTCAGTATATCTCTCATTATAGCAAGCCTATCATCATTATCATTCCCATTATACAGACAGAGCAACAGACTCCTGTGCTGCCTAATATAGCAGCCACTAGCCACATGTGCCTCTTCAAATGAACATTAAAAACAACTAAAATTAGGGGCCTCCCCGGTGGCGCAGCGGTTGAGCGCTGGGTTGCGAAGCTGCCCGCAGCCTCTGCAGCGCTGGTTCGATCCCCGGCTGCTCCCGGCCACCAGAGGAGGGTCCCACATGGCGCGCAGACCTCTCCTGCCGCCCGCTGCTCCCCTCAGCAGTGTACTTCGGTCCTTCTGCCTGCTCTGCTCCCCGCTCTGGCTCTGGTGAATTCTCTCACCCTCCCGCGCTTCTGACTGTACCCAGTGCATGTATAAACAAAACAAACAAACAAATAAAATAAATAAATAAATAAAAACATGCCTCTATTAAAAAAAAAAAAAACTCTTAAAAAAAAAAAACAACTAAAATTAAAATGGCCCACATTTAAAAAAAACTGGCAACAACAAATGCTGGCAAAGGAACCCTCTTACATTGCTGGTGGGGATGCAAACTGGTCCAGCCGCTATGGAAAGCTGTGTGGAGGACACTCATGTTATCAAAAATGGATCTAACCTATGACCCAGCGATTCCACTCCTAGGGATCTACCCAAAGGACACAAAAATATTAATTCAAAAGGAAACCTGCACCCCTACATTTATTGCAGCACTATTTACAATAGCTAAGATATGGAAACAACCTAAATGCCCCAAAACTGATGAGTGGATCAAGAAGATGTGGTGTATATATACATAATGGAATACTACTCAGCAATCAAAAGAGCCATTTGCAGCAACATGGATGGAACCTGAAGGGATTATACACAGTGAAATAAGTGAGGAGGAAAAAGAAAAACATCGAATGGTTTCACTTATAGGAAGAATATAGGGAAACCGAACAAAAGGTAAGAAAAAAAGACAAAACTTGCAAGCAAGTTGGATATGGGGCATACAGCAGGGGAGGGTTAAGGAGAGGGGCCAAAACAGAGTAGGGAGGAGCACAGAGCTCTGTGGTGACAGTTCATGGGTGACGTGGTGGTGGGGGATTTATGAGAATGACATCTTAGTGGGAAAATCAAATACCGTACAAAAATGAACAACTATGTAAGAGAATAAAAAAGTTTAATTTTTAAAAAAAAACCTAAAATTTCACTTGCTGGACCATACTATTTACATATCAAATACTCAAAGAGCCAGATGTGAATAGTGATTACCATTTTGGAGAGTGCAGATAGAGAATGTCTTCTTGGCAGAAAGTTCTGTTGAGTTAGGGTCACACAGGATGTGTTATGGCTGGGCTTCTGGTCCCATCTGAGTGTGAAACCCTTCAATATCTCCATATTGCATCCATAAAGAAGAAAGTTTCAGCAGGCTCTTATCCTTTTGGTATGCAACCTGGGCCTAGGTCTGTTCTAGAAGCATTTCTCATCACCCCCTTGCATAGTCTCACTACTTATCACAGGCGTACTCACTGGTGTCTAACAATCCTCCTTGCTGCCTGCCTGGCTGATCCATCTCTACCTGACCTTTAAGATTCAAATAACTCTTGAAGCAGTTCCCTCTTAACCATTCTCATTGCCTCAGCCTGAACCACCTTTCAGAGCCCCTCCTCATTTCCTGCCTTGGCAGCCATTCTGCTGCTACTAATCACAGTTGCTGACACTAAGCACCTACTCTGTGCTAGGCAGTCTTCCAATCACCCATCACAAGACTGAAGTAATGTCGCTGCTGTCTCTGTGCCCATTTTACAGATGGGGTAACTGACACACAGGGAGGTGAAGGCCTTGTATGAATGAGCTCTCTGCTTTGAGTCTTTCCACAGGCAGTTCACCCTCCCACTATTACCCACTATTCCTTTCCAAAACACAGAACTGTTATTTCCCTCCCCTGGTTCCTCAAAGAGGGCACAACATGCCAGGTTCTCTGTGTTCAGAATATTTCCAGCCTCAAAACCCATCACTCTACCCACAGGCCAAACATGACTCAGTTTCCTGAAATTTCGTCCCCCTGGATTCTCACACACATTGTCCCCTCTAATAGGTGTTATCCCAGCTGGCCAGCTCTGAAGTCATCTGAGGCAGCACACGCTGGGCCAGGGACTCACTTCTCTCTCTGAAAGTCCTACCCTAACTCTCTCCAGTTGGTGGCTCCCAAAGGCAACCTGGGTGCTGAGCTCACCACATTAAAATCACTTCTTGGGCCTCCCCGGTGGTGCAGCGGTTGAGCACTGGGTTGCAAAGCTGCCCGTGGCCTCTGCGGCGCTGGTTGGATCCCCGGCTGCTCCCCGGCCACCAGAGGAGGGTCCCACATGGCGCGCAGACCTCTCCTGCCGCCCGCTGCTCCCCTCAGCAGTGTACTTCGGTCCTACTGCCTGCTCTGCTCCCCGCTCTGGCTCTGGTGAATTCTCTCACCCTCCCGCGCTTCTGACTGTACCCAGTGCATGTATAAACAAACAAATAAATTAAATAAATAAATAAAATAAATAAAACATGCCTCTAAAAAAAAATAAAATCACTTCTCATTAAAACAAATATATTCCTCATGTTCAATCAGTGTTAGGTCTAGGAGTCTCTTTTTTTTTTTTAATTTAGCATCCCAGATTGTTCTGCAGTGAGAACAGCACTTGTTTGGCATTTAAGCAAGCCCTGGCTAGATTTCTTGTGTATACTCCCTTGTTGTTATATAGTGCTTACCTTCATTCACTCACATTTGTCTATTAGAAAAATGCTTATTCAGGGACTATTGTGTGCCAGGCAGCCCTCTACATGTTGGTATGAACCCCTTGCTCAGAGGGTTTACATTCAAGAGAGGTATGGTAGGCAGCATAACGTCTCCTCAAGATACTCAAGTCCTGGGCCTCCCCGGTTGCACAGCTGTTGAGCGCTGGGTTGCGAAGCTGCCCGCGGCCTCTGCAGCGCCGGTTCAATCCCCAGCTGCTCCCCGGCCACCAGAGGAGGGTCCCACATGGCACGCAGACCTCTCCTGCCGCCCGCTGCTCCCCTCAGCAGTGTACTTCGGTCCTTCTGCCTGCTCTGCTCCCCGCTCTGGCTCTGGTGAATTCTCTCGCCCTCCCAAGCTTCTGACTGTACCCAGTGCTTGTATAAATGAATAAATAAATTTAAAAAAAAAAAAAAAAGATACTCAAGTCCTAATACCCATAATTTATGAATGTTACTTTACATAGTAAAAGGAATTTTGCTGGCATGAGTAAGTTAAGGGTAACACTTAACTTACTTAATTTTCAAGATGTGAAAATTATTTGGATTATCCAGGTTCTTAATCACAAGGATACTCATAAGGGAAAAGAGGGAGGCAGCAGAGTCAGCAAGAGAAAAGGAGATGTGACAACAAGCTAGAAATCAGACCCTTATGACTGCTGGCATTGACGATCAAGAGGACCCGCAGTCAAGGTTCTGGAAAAGGCTGGAAACAGCAAGCTGGAAAGGCAAGGAAACAGATTTTCTCCTGTAGCCCCGGGAAGGAAAGCAGCCCTGAAATCCCCCCAACACACACACCTTTTTTTTTTTTTAACACTTTTAGGCTGCAGAACTGTATAACTATAAGATCATAAATGTGTGTTGTTTAAACCAATATATTTGTGGTCACCTGTTACAGCAGCAAAAGGAAACTAATACAAGATATTTATCTTGTGCAGGCCTCTCCAAGAAGGCTTTAAGTGTCTGAGAGTTCTGTGTTATATTTTGATCGCTGCCCCCTACCACACACACACACACACACACACACACACACACACACACACTCACATACACACACACACACACACACACTAACTCCTCCCAGCATGAAGCTGGACCCAAGTGGAAGCTCAATATGCTCCTGCTCTAGAGTTCAGTCTCTACAGTTGTCTGGTTCTGTGGTGTGCGTGTGTGTTGTGGGGAGGGGGGTGTTCTTGCTAATGATTTGGGGTGGAATAATGAGGCTGGGAGAGATGCAAGGAATGGGGTGCTGTCCGAAAGCACAAGGGGTTTGAGCTGAGATGCCTGCGTGGAAATGCCAGTGCGTGGAAAGGTTTTCTGAGATGCGTGTTAAGACTCTGTAGCGTGGACCTGATAGGGCCACGGGTACCCTGAATCATATGCCTTGTGTACGTTCATATTTCTTAATGTTTACATCTTAATTTTTAATGAGAAATTTAAATCTTAATTTTTAGAACAGAACATGTCTTTTACTCACAGGTACACATTTCAAAGTAGTTACCGCAGCCAACGGCTTGAGCGCCCACTTTGGGGCCCCGCGAAGGTCCAGATTCCCGAGGGGGCGGGTCTGGGGATGAGGCTGGCACCCGCCTTTTAAACAGACGTCCCCAAGTATCTAGGGGCGCAGGCACCTCGCTTTGCCGGCCGAGCTGCGCGCGAGGGCGGCCTCCGGCCGGGGAGGGCGCTGTGCCGGCGGCGGGGAGGGGCGCGGGGCGGGCGGGGCGGAGCGCGGGGCGCGGGCGGCTGGGGGTTCGGGCACCCCGCGGGCTCGGGCTCCCGGCCCTGCACCTGTGACTCCCGCGCTCGCGCGGCCGCCGGCGCCGCAGCCCCATGGCCCCATCCCGCCTGCAGCTCGGCCTCCGCGCCGCTTACTCGGGCTTCAGCTCCGCGGCGGGTTTCTCCATCTTCCTCGTCTGGACGGTGGTCTACAGACAGCCGGGGACGGCGGCCATGGGGGGGCTCGCAGGTACCCCCGGGGCGCGGGGGCCGGGGTCGGGGCTTCGGGGGCAGCGGCGGGGCGGGGCGGCGCTGTCGGCCGCCGGGAGGCTCCCTGGGCGGCGCTCCCCGGGGAGCTGGTGGGGTGTTTACCCCGCGCGTCCGCTGGCGGCTCGGGCCGCGCGGGTCCCGGCTCTCGGGCATCCTCCCGGGCACCCGGGGCCGGCTCCCGCCGGGCACCGACCTGCCGCGCCGCGGGGGCTCACTCGCCCCGCACCCCTGGCGCGGCCGCGCCTCCCGGTCGCGGTGACAGCGGCGTCCCTGCGCGCCCCCACCCTCGCCTTCGCGCACTGGGTGTGACGACCCCCCCAACATACACACTTGTTCTGGGGGATTCCCCCCTCGCGCATCCCTTCTTTGCGGACGAGGTGAAGGCAGAGACGGTGGAAAGGAGGGGGCTGGGGGTTTCTGGGGACCTTTGTGCCCCTTCCTACAACGTGGACCCTCAGCGGAGACCTGGGGGCAGTGCGGGAGATCTGATGGAAACCGCTATTTCCTTCCCACCTGCTTGGGGTCTCTGCCTCCCCGGTGCTGCGGCTCGGGGCCAGGGTCTGCTCAGCCCGCTAGCCCGGCCTCTCTGCGCCTCGAGGAGGGAGGGAAGCACGTGCTAGGGTGAGAACTCAGCTGGGGGTCCCTGTGCTCGCCAGAGTTCTGTCCTCCTGTGCCCCTTTGGGCACGAGATTAACCCCTCTGTGTTGGAGTGAAGGCAAAATCTGGTTTGTACAGGACAAGACTCTCTAAAATGCTTTCTGTGTGTCGGGGATTGCTTCCTTCAGCCTCTGTACCCTTGTAGCAGTCCTGGGAAAGTGGTGTCATTATTGTACCCATTTTACAGATAAGGCTTAAGTTTAAACTGAGACTTGGAGTAAATAAGGAACTTGCCCAGGGTTACACAGCTACATGAAATAATATATGTGGGGAAAGAACTTTGGAAAACAATACGTGTAAGGATAATACCTTTACATCTGATTTCATTCCGTTTTACTAAAATCCCGTGCCCAAAGAGTCACACACAGACTGACTAAAACAGCTAGATTTACTCATTGCCTCCAAGGTTATTGAGTCCACCTGCGGATAGAGGGGCTGGCTAACGGCACCCTAAGCAGTGCCAGGCAGGGTGTTGGGGTCACCAAGGAAGGGCAGTGGGCACTCTGGTGGCTGCCCTCATGCTTACCTAGATGCCCTTCAGCCTGTCCTCCTGAGGGCAGCCAGCACTTCTCTTTTCAGTTATCACGGAGCCCCAACTCCTTTTCCCTCTGTACCCCTATCACCAACCATGGTTCCCTTCTTCTTGCAGTTTTTCTGTTTCCTCGCAGCCCTGCTGCATTCCCCTTGGGAAGGTGTCATTGGGAGAGGCACTGTGGTTGCATTAATGAGACAGGAGATGAGGGGGCTTGTTGGAGGGGGCACAGAGGGTTCCCTCTGACCCAAATTCTGGGCTCTCTCTCCCTCCACAGGCTTTTCTCATATTCTGAGTAGGCCAGCTGTGGTATTGCCTGCAGGGAAAGGTCCTAGCCCAGGACTCTACAACCCAAAGTGGTTAATCACGTTCCGAAGCTGATCTTCCACAAGCAGGAGGTGGCTGGGGGAGAACCAAAGATGCTAGGTGGTGGGGTGGTGAGTGGAGGGAGGGGTGGCTAGGTCAGGGCACATGCGCCCTGTCCACCCTGGTTGGGTTCCGAGAGCTTCTGGAATGGTCAATCTTCCTCTTCTTGGGGTGATGCATCAGCAGATTTACTAACTTGTGAGCACCCCACTTCTGACTTGGCATTTTTCAGCCTAAAAACTGCTGAGTCACTGGAGGGCAGCCCACAGCATGTTCCTTCCCTGGGTACAAGGCGAGGCTGGTTTCTGGAACAGTCTACCATGAAGCCCCTGGGCCTAGCAGGAAGAGCATGCAAGAGCAGAGACCCATTCTGTCCCACCCTGGAGGGTGTCTGGGAAGAAGTAGCCTGGAGGAAGGCAGTTGCAGAAGAAATGGTTCTGCTGTGGGGACTCTGGGGGACCATAGACTCCTGCTTAGGCCTAGTAGGCAAGGAAAGTTGAAGAATAGAGACGTTGCCCCAGGAGTTGAAAGGGCATTCTTCCCCCACTTGAGCTATGAGTGGGAGGGGACTGTGCCCCAGGCCTTGCCGGTTCCCAGATCAGAGGTGCAAGGACATAGCCAGGCCCTCGCAGTTGTGTGCTGACATGCCCGTCACAGGCTACCTGGCTGCAGGCTCCTCGTCCCCAGCCACTGTAGGTACTTTCATTGACCAACCTTGCCCCTTTCTTGCCCTTTGTCAGCTCTGAGCCCCTTGGGGCAGAGTAAGGGGTGAGCTCTGGGGTGAGCCTACAGGCAAATGGCCTGAGGACCTGTCCATTGTGCCCTCCTTATGCAAGCCAGGCTTCCTGGAGGCTAGAGTATCCTGGAGAAGGTCTGGAGCAGAGGGACAGCTGCCTGTGCCTGAGGTGTGGGGGTGGGGATCTCCTATTCCTCCCTCGCCATCTTGGGTGCAGTTGGTAGAGGCGGACTCTTTTGCAAGGACAGTGGTAGGAGCCGGGGGTGGGGGGCAGGCCTGCTTCCAGACTTAGTTGGTGTTTATCTGGGGGTAAGGCCTGTGCAAGGGGAGTGAGAGGTGGGTAAAGTTGTGCCTGGGACCTGTAACACCCAACATGGCCATCTTCCTTTTCCTCCCACTTCCCTCTTTCTGCAGTATGTGGGTGTATGTGAGCTGGGTTTTTAAGGGTGCTGCAGGAGCATGGCTAGTGGCTAACACATGGCATCTTCACAGCCCCCTATTTCAGCATTTCCTTGTCCAGAAATTGCTGAGTCACAGAGGAATTATTCTGACCTCCTTATTTTTTCCTCAGCTGGCCTCCAGAACCTTTGAGTATAAAGAACCTTAGAGCTCATACTCTCCACCTCCTCCATGGCATGTGGTGGAGACAGGCCAGGTGGGCAGCTCCAGACAGGGGCCCACCTGACTGTTCTTGATGTCTGCAGTGACAATAAACCTCCACCCCACGGCCCTTTAAGAGACCAAGCAGTGTCCTGGGAGGCCTGGAAGAGGACTGGAAGGAGTTCTGGGAAAGTCCTGGCTGGCACACAGTCCAGATCACACAAGATATAAAACGAAGCCATGGGTTGTTCTGTGCACCTTTGGCCTATCCCAGGCAGGGGTGGAGAGATACTTGTCATGGGTCACCCTGATCTCAGGGGTAGAAGGACCCATATTTCAGGCCTTTAGCCTCCAAGGATGGTTAGGGATGGGTAGAGGCAGAGCCAGGAGAGTGAGGGTCAAACAAGTCTGGAGGGGAAGGCATGAACAGGCTCAGCCAGAGTCCTGGGGTCACCAAGTACGCAGGCTGGTGAGACCTTTGGACTCACCGTTTCAGATGAGGAAACCCCAAGGCGCTGAGCAGTGGCCCAGCAGTACAGCAGGGCCAGGCCCCAGGCCTCCTGGCTTGTGCGTTGGGACCTGTCTCTTGCTCAATCATCTGAACTGTCACAGCGCTGCGTGGTAACCAGAGCTCTGTGGTGATGCACCCCCTTACCTTTTGTCCCTCCAACTTAAAAAAGATATGCATGAAACATTTCAGGCATGTAAAAAAAAAAAAAAAAAAAGGCAATTTAACAAACTCCCTGACACTCACTACCCAACGTAAAAAATAAAATATTGTAGATTCAGTCAAAACTCTCCTATTTTGCTTCCCTATCAACTTCCCCTCCTTTCTTACTACCAACAACCACCTTCCCTACCAGAGCTCACCCTTCCTGTGCAGATGTCACTCTGCATTCAGTGAGTGCAGCTCCTGCTTTTAAAGGTCTCCTGACTCCCAGGCTGCAGCAGCCAGGTGACCCACACCTGATGGCTGGGGCAGCACCTGGCTTGCCCTTTTCCTCCTTTGCCAGGACCGCTCAGTCCTGCTCTGCATCCTTGCCAGTGGAACTGGTATTTGTTCTACTTTTTGGGTTGCACCGGCAGGCACTGCCTGGCACAGAGGGTGCTCATTGTATTGAATGAGTAGCAGCTGGCATCCTAGAGGACATGCTCAGCCAAGCCCAGAAAAGCCTGGGGGTGCCTGGCCTCCCTTTGAGGCAAACTCCAGGAGATGACATGGAACCTGGCCATGAGTATGAAGGCCCCCTGGATGCTGGGGCTTGGGAAGCACCCTGCTGCCAAGGAGCTCTGCCGCAGGCCCTCAGGTGGAGGAGCATTTGGTGGGAGGACCACTTCCCAGATGGTGCTTAGTGCAGGTAGTGAGGAGCCCCTAGAAAGCAGGCTGGGCTGCAACAGTTCTCAAACTTTCTGACTTCAAGACAATTTACACTCTTGAAACACAGCGAAACACTAAGTAATTTTTTTATATGGGTTTTTTTAATATGGGTTAAATCTGTCATAAAAAAACATGTTATATTTTTTTCAACTCTCTTATTTATTCATTTATTTGTAGAAGAACTGGGGTCTAGGCCAGAGGTGCAAGGGATGGAGTGGGGCGTAAGAGGATTCACCAGAGACAGAGTGGGGAGCAGAACAGGCAGATCTACGGAAATACGCTGCTGAGGGGAGCGGAAAGAGAGACAGGAGAGGTGTGCAGGCCCCATGTGGGTCAGCAACCTGGCCGGAGATGGAACTGGGGCCATATAGGTGATAGCACTGAGACTTAAGTCCTAGGCCACCAGGGAGGTCCTAAAACAACATTTTAATGTTGTTTAAATATTAAAAAATGTTTTGTTTAAATATTAAATATTAAAATATATTAAATATTAAAAAATATTTAAATATTAAAAAATAACGTTTTGTTACTATAGATAACATTTTGGGTGAGAAATATTCATGTTTTATAAAACAGAAAAGTCAGGAAGAGTGGCAGTGGGTTCCTATTTTGCTAATCTCTTTAGACTGGTTTCACAAGGCAGCTAGATTGGCTTTCCTGCTTTTGCCTTCAGGTCCAGAAAATTCTACTCTGCGAGAATGCATAAAAAGGCTAGTGTTACCTTATTATGCAAACAGCCCTGGTTTGGGGGACCTCCAGGGCCCCAGGGGTCACTGCACAGGAGGAAGGGTGCAGAGGGGCGGCTGCAGCGCCCTGCTCACCTGTCTGTCCCCGCAGGTGTGCTGGCGCTCTGGGTCCTGGTGACCCACGTGATGTACATTCAGGATTACTGGAGGACCTGGCTCAAGGGACTGCGTGGCTTCTTCTTCGTGGGTGTCTTATTCTCGGCCGTCGCCATTGCCGCCTTCTGCACCTTCCTGGCGCTGGCCGTGACCCGACAGCAACGTGAGGGCGGGGTTGGGGCGCGGGCGGGGCCGGGGGCGGGGTCGGGACCGGGCCGGGGCGGAAGACCGGCGGGGGCTTCGGAGCTTAAGTCCAAGGGACTGGGAGGGCTAGTTGACACCCCCGTGCCTGGGTAGCCTCATTGTTACAGAGTGGAGAATCGAGTACCCACCCGCGAGGGTTCCGTGAGATTCGGGGAGCCCGGAGCGGCGGCTCAGCTCGGTGTAGCCCGGGCCTGGCTCCGGCCCGGCTCCGGGGCGGGCGCGCCCTCTGGCGGCTGCAGACCGCCACAGCCGGAGGCCGTCTCCCCGCCCCTCCGGAGCGGATCCTTAACACCAGCTGAAGTGGCCCGGGGTAAATGTCACCCAAGCAGAGGCGGGGATCAGGCCTGTGTCTTGCCCAGTCATATCCTCCCTCATGCCCGCGTCCTCCCACCCGCAAAACCTGAATGCTCTTAAGGCGTGGTCACATGCAGTCTCCCCTGGGTCGGTTAGGCCTCAGCAGAGGCTGCAGGAATGTTGAGGTGGGAAGGGTGACCCCGGGCAGAGAGCAAGGCCTCTCAAGTCACAGTCTGGCTCCTTCCTCCCGCAGGCCTCACAGATCCCAACAGCTACTACCTTTCCTGCGTCTGGAGTTTCATCGCCTTCAAGTGGGCCTTCCTGCTGAGCCTCTATGCCCACCGCTACCGCGCTGACTTTGCGGACATCAGCATCCTCAGCGATTTCTGACCCAGGGGGTGAGGTCTCTGCACCCTGGAGGGCCTTGGGACCTGGACTCAGCCTCTGAGACGTCAGGAAGGCCTGCCCCGCCTTGTGGACCCCAGAACTGGGGCAAAATACACAGCAGGGGAACTGAGGTCTCCAGGAAAACTGCCGCATTCCCTTGAGGAAGACCCAGGTGCAGTGTGAAGGGGGTCCTGCCGTGTTGCCCCTCCTCCACCTCGCTGGCAGGCGGCTTTAGCCTTCTCAGATGGATCTATTTTCTTAGCACTCAGTGAGGAATCTTTGTAAGCAGGGCCAGGGCAACAATGGGTTGGGCAATGAGGTCCTGAAGTGTTCCTGGGGGCAGGCAGTGTGGCCCCTGCTGCCCGGCATTCTCCCTCCGGCCTGGTCACATGGGGGATCTCTGGTAGAGACCTCTTAACCCCTAGCACCCCATCCTGTTATCCCCGAGGGTGAGGCAGCTTAACGCATCTGTCCCAGGAAGTCATCAGGGGCTGTCCCTAGCCAGGCCTGGTCTGTGGGTGTCCCAGAAACAGTCATCACCCCTCCACACTTGTCACCTCTTACATGCCCCCCACATCTAAAGTGAGACTCCCAACAAGGCCGGCTAACAGTCTTGGGGAAGGTGCTCCTGCCCCAGCAGGGCTTTGGGGTAGAGGGTGGCAGTGGAGGCCCAAAGGAACCCCTCAACCTTAGGCCTACATTCCTAATCCACCTTCCTACACCTGTCCCCAGGGCATGCTGGTCACCCGTGTGAGATGACACCCCTGTCCCACCCCTGTTCACTGCCTGTCTCCTGGAATTTTTATCTTTTAAAAACATCTCCCTACTGAAGGACAGAACCTGCCTTTCTGCCCACACCCTGGCCCGGACCCACCTGACCTGAGGGGAGCTGCCGCTGCGTGTCTCATGTTAAGGGTGCACACCCACCCCTCCCTACCAGGTGTGGCCAGCCCCAGTTCTTTGCCTTATCTGTGTCACTGTCACTTTAGCAGAAATACAGTGGTCATCAGTATTAGACAGCCTCTAGTTGATGCTCACAGGTGGGATCCGGGGGGCATGTGGGCACGGGGTGGAAAGGTGGTGTGGTTCTCTAGTTTCAGCCATTTCCTTAGCTCAGACTGTGCCCTGGTGGGCAAAGGAGGCCATCATCTTGGACTGGAGGCTGTCTCCCTCTGGCCCCTCTCGGCTCGGGGGACCCACCAGCTCTTCTCCAACTCTTAGTACACACCCAGCCAGGGTGGGATACCCACGGCACAGTCTAGCCCCCCACGGGATTTTGTGTCTGTCACCAGAGAGGCCAGGACAGATGGGAGGGGGAAGATCCCCCTTCCCCACATCCTCTCAGGTATGGGGCCAGGCCTGAGGCCATGAGGCCACCACTCCTGCTGGCTGGAGAAGGCAGGCTGGGCCACTCCAAACCCTGAAGCCAGGGCGCTGGCAGGATGCACCTTCCTCCCTGCTTACCCTGAGCATGCCTGCCAGGGTCTGCTGCCTCACTCATTTGTTCTTGTGGTCACGCTACGTGTTTAAGAAACCATGATGCGTCAGAGCGGGAAGGAACCATAAACGGTGTCTACTTCTAGAGCCTTTGCCTGATGAGCAGGGGCGTAGGAGGTGATCTAGCTGAGCCCCCAGCTGGGACCTGCACCCAGGAAAGGCTGCTCACAACCTGAGCCTTAGCGCGTGGGGCTAAGGTGGCCCGTCCTCCACGGGCCCTCTGTCCATGAAGTTAGCCAAAGCTGCCACCTCATCACCCCAGGGTGGGATAGGCCAGGCACCAGGGTGTCTTCAGGAGGGATTCCTCCTGCAGGAAAGCTGCCAGAGGGCAGGGGGCCGGAGAGAGGATGGTCCCCCACCAGCCCAGTCCCCTCCGTTCCCACCAATCCACTGCCGCTGTATGCCCACCGCACATCCCTCCTCCCGAGGCCCTTCACATGCATCTTTAAAGCAAATAAAACATTTATTGTTCAGATTTTTTTTCCTTTTTTTCCTTTTTTACAAAAACATGCATACATACACAGGGTACAGTAGATGCTGGGGAAGACGCGCACGCGCACACACGCGCGCACACACACACACACACACACACACACACACACACACACACGCTTACGCACTCAAATACTTTCCTTCTTGGCCCCAGGCCTGAACCCCAGAAGCTGTGAAGACTTTGCCAGGGCAGCCTCCCCTCCCCATACCTTGCCTCTGCTCTCCCTCCCATCCACCTCAGCCAAGCTAGTCCTATATGGGTGGGAATCAGAGTTAGGGTAGGGGGAATCCCAGAAAGAGAGCAGGCTCGTGGAGGGGCCAGTGACCAAGGGATTCCTGGGGGCCCTGCTGTGCTCCTGAGGGGAGATGAGGGTTTGGCACCATTGGGTCAGAGAGCACAGAACTCCGAGAGCACCTTCTGCTCCACCGGGCACTGAGATGGTGACAAGTAGCGGCCTCTTGCAAGGGCGGGACCAGATGGGAGGCCTGCTGGTGAGGGCTCTTGGAGGGAGCTTCATCTTACTGCCCAGCAGCGGGGGAAGCTTCCAGAGTCATCAGAGTGGGCAGGTGGGAGGAGGGGCTACCCCTGACTCAGGGATATGGGACCCCTTGTATTTTCCCCATCACCTCCTCCCCGCTGCGGCCCTCAGAGCCTAGGAAAGGCCACCCTGACGGAAGCCAAGTTCACATTTCTGTGTGGAGCCTGGGGCTGTGTGCAAAGTCCAGGTCTACAGAGCCAAGAATAGTGGTTACAGGTAGGGAAGGCGGCCTGACTGAGCCAGTGTCCTCTGTGCAGTCCTGAGGAATGGGGGCCCAACCAGGGCCTGGACCCCACAGGGTAGATGCTGTTCTTGGGAGAGCTCTGCTAAGGCCTGCTGGCTGCCTACCTAGTCTGCCTCCTTCCAGAGTCCCCTTTGGTCCCCATCCTAGACCCAGGGGCCTTCTGAGACTCCTTGGGGTGACTGTCAAGAGGCTGTTCTCTGACCCTGACTACCTGCCCACAGGATCTCTGAAGACCCAGGGAGGGGCACTGTCGCCAGACGTTAGAAGAGAACCAGGTCCAGAGGGTAGGGTGGATGGGCAGATTGCTTCCGAAGACTTAGAGATTCATAGGTTCTTCCTCCTCCACCAGCTGCTCTGAGGGCCTGGGGAGGGACAAGACAGAGATGCTGGGGGTGCTGAAGGAAGGGCCTGAGAAGTCTGGGGAGCTGTGCTAGGAACTGGGGTCCTCCTGTTGGGAGAACCCAAGGGGGTAGAGAGGCTGCCGGCCAAGGCTGGGGTTCTGGCATTACCTCTCCTCAGCCAGGATGCCCACGGAGAGAGATGCCAGTGCCGTCACTGCCTCCACTTCTGCGTCAGCCCCCGGCACCCTGGGCACCCAGGAGTCTGGACAGGAGGCCAGGTGCTGCATGCAGCCCCAGTATTTACCTGGGACAAGAGACTAGGTCAGAAAGGGTTGGGAAGACAAGCCCTGCCACCCTGCCACCCTGCCACCCTGCCAGGGAAGCATTCTAGACTGATGATGAAGTCTGGCAGCTCAGCCAGGGGCCTGAGAGAAGCAGGTGTGTCCTCAGTTCAAGGTCAGCTTGCCCACCTGTCCCTACCCTCAACACAATGCCTTCTTGGACCTGGCATCCAGAGCCCTGACAGACTGGCATGACCCTGAGGATGCCTAGCAGGTGTCCAGGCCATTCTCCACCTCTGGGGTTGAGGCCACCTCTGACTGTCCCCATGGGGATGGGATTCCTAACAGCACCAGCAGGAGGGCTGAGACCTCCTGAGCACAGCCCAGCAATGCTCAGAGCAGCACAGAGGCCGGCGGTGGGGGTGTGAGGACAGGGGAGCTGCCACCACTCTGTTCTGCGTGGCCCTCGGTAAGCCCCCCACCCGGGCTTCCACTGCTTCCTCCAGATGGGACACCACCACCCTGCCTAGTGTGAGAGGTAGCGTCTGTGGGACATGCTTAGCCCAGAGCCGGGCCTGGTGTGGGGGCTCTGTGTCCAGCCCCAGTCTTCTTCAGCAGCAGCTGAGCCAGCAGCAGCTGAGCCAGCAGCAGCTGGGCCCTGATGTGAGAAGAGATTGAGTCATGTGTGTCATCCTAGTACAGGGCATGGGCCTTTACACGTAGTGCTCCACAGATGCTGAATAGAAGCTGAAAATCGTTATGTGCTTTTCAAATGTGGGGGTTATTCTAAGACCCAGTCCCCAAAGCAGGCAGAGCCTCCCAACCTGTGTGGCAAGGCCTGAGGGTAGGTAGAGGTAGGAACCATGGCTTTCAGAAAATAAGTCTTCCTGTGACTGCTGACCTGACCATAGCCTGAGGCAGAGGCTGGACAAGGAAGGCCAGTCCTGCTGTGAAGAGGCCACTCTGCAGTGGCCTCCACTGAAAGGCTCTAGGGGCGACTTGGGGTACACCATGACTGCTGGGGTAATTTATAGGAATTTATGGGAGTCCTGCTCCAGGCCAGCAGCAGAGGCCCTTGTCTGGCTGGCACTGGAAATCTTGAGACCCAGGTCAGTGAGGGGCTTAGAACCCCGAGGTTCTCCTAAATGTGGGGTCCCTGGATATCTTCTCTCCATACTCACTGTGCACCCGGATCACAGCTTCCAGAGAACGGATGGCGTTGAGGTTGGGTTTCTGTTTCCAGCCTTCTTCTGAGAGGGGATCCACCTACAGAAAATAGTACATTAGCGTCCAGTCTCTTGGGGACCCGCAGGCTCAGCTCTATCTACCCCAAGGGCCCCAGACACCAGCTCTGGCTCTGCTTAGGACAGGAGATGCTGCCATTGACCACTCTGTTCCCCTCGTGCCCCCCAACCCCAACTGTGAGCTCTCGGAGAGATGTTCCATTTGCCTAATCTTTGGGATAGTCCTGGGACAGATGGGCATCCTGCCTCACAGATGAACAGACCTGGGGGTAGGGAGCTCACCTTGTTGCCAAGAAGAGCAGCAACACAGGCCTCGGAGGCATCACAGATGGCCGTGAGGTCATGGCCACCCTCCAAGGCCAACACCACTGCACCTCCCGCCAAGCTCATCAATTGCTGCGTCATATATCCAAAACCTAGATGGTAGGGGGCAGGGGTAAGAGGGAGCAGGAGTGAAGAAGTGGATCCATGGTCTACCCATTGTTTTCCTGCTGCCTCCTCCCTTACACATGACTCAGACACATAAATCTCTAGTTCCGAAGTGCTTTCGCATGGAGCGCCATGCAAAACCTATCAGCATACCTCCCTCAAGGCTTAGAAGGGTAGGAGACTCGCACCAGGCTCCAGGCTGACTTGGGCAGGGCCTGATCCCCAGGCATGGACTCAGCTAGGTCTTTTTCACTAAAGCTATCCCATCTCTCTCTGTCCTCAGGCCTGTGGTCCCGTGGGCTGAGTGGGCTCCCTCTGTTCTGGAAACACTGCTCCTCCTCACTCTCTCTCAGGGGAAGCCAGGTGGGGATGACACCACTGGGATGGAGGCAAACTACGGCTGCACTTTCTATACGACTTATGTTCCCCAGGGTGTGACTTGGTTAGGCCTTCCATGGTGCACGGACCTGGCCATAAGAAAGGGTCCTGTGCTGTGCCAGGCGAGGACAGCCAGGGCCAGTCGCCACACCCCCTGGGGCCCTCTCGCTTGTGGCCATGGGCTGGCACTGTCACCTCCCCTTGCCTTGGCAGTGCCTTCCCTGCCAGTCCAAGCCTCATTCCCATCTCCCTTCTTACATTTGGCGGAGACATGGTAGCCGCCTAGTGGGGCTGGGTGGCCCTCGGCAGCATCAAACCCAGCCGACACCAGGACCAGATCTGGAGAGAATTCGCGGGCTATGGGCATCACGACTATCCTGTGAGGGTGCAAAAAGGGGGATAATTGGAGAAAAGTAATCAGAGACTAATTTCCAGGGTTCTCTCCTCCCAAATGGAATACAGGGACCCAGGAGTGAGGTATCTAAGAGCTCCTGAACAGAGCCCAAAGCCCCTCTTCTAGAATGGCTTTTCCTAATCAACTGCCCTTAATCAATTCCAAACTTTTTCTCCACAGTTTAAGTTTCTTATTTCCTGTGTGAAGCCCACCTCCTCCAGGCAGTTTCCTCTGACTGACGTTTGCAGCTCTGCTCACCCCCCCTGCCCCTCCCAGCACTCAGCTCAACACTGGGTCTTGTGACATGCAACCTTATAAAATACCCTTGACTTTTTATTCTTGGGTGTTTCCCATCTTTCCATCAGGACTCGGGGCCACCAGAGTCCAGCAATAGTGCCTTTCCCCCTCTCTGAGTCCATAAAGTCCACCCTGGGACTAGCTACAAACGTCTAGTAATGGGATGGAAACAAGCTAATGGATCACCTCCAACCTGCTGCTGCCGGGAAAAAGGGTAGGAGAAGGTGGTCTTGTGGGTCAGGCCCACTCTGGCTCCCCAGAGCACTAACCTGAAGGCAGCCAGGTACTCAGGATCCCCCACTGGGGGGTCCAGACCTCCAGCCCAGGCCACGTTGACATTGAAGCCTTCGCCGCTGCCAGCCCCCACCTGGAAAACAGGAAACAAGAGACATGAGAGCAGAGCCCAGAGGATGAATCCCCGATGCTAGTGCCGTAAGCCCAGCTCACCCAGCTTCTTCCAGATGGAGAAAGGATCAGAGAGGTTAAATAATCTGCTCGGGGTCACAAAGCTAACAGAGTGAGTGCCATGAGGGAGCCAATGGGGCTGGAAGGTGTGGTTACCTCGTCCACAGCCCCACTGCCCGGGAAGAAGTTGCCGTCATCGTGGCGGTGCAGGGAGATGTAGAGCACACTGGGGTCCTGGTAGAAGGTTTGCTGGGTGCCATTGCCATGGTGAACATCCTGGCGGGAAGACAGGAAATGGATTAGGGAAAGTCTGAAAGCAGAGATGGAGACGTTACCAGTTGGAAGGGTATTGAGATCTGTGAGCATTCTGAGGATCAGGATGTTAAACCTGGGGTCAGGAAACCGGGGTTTCTAGCGCCAAAGAGTTTAATGGACTCAAGCAATCTAGAGGCCTGTCTCTCCCCGTGTACAGATGTGTATATGACATGGGGCACAGATTGGCTACAGTGTGAGAGCCTGAGGAGGGGAGGCGGATCACGGGTGTGAGCAAGAGTAACATGTGGGGCAGGAGACAGAGGCCCAGGAGTGCGTGTTGGGAGCCCTCAGTGCAGTGTCCTGCCCAAGGTCACGGGGCGACGCAGGGGATCAGAAACTGAGCTCAGTTATAGGGGGTCAGGTGCATGGGGCCCAGTGCCGTCCCCACCAGGAGGGTCCACAGGACCACACACAGGTGAAGTGTGCAAAGTTCCTCACTGTCTGTCCTCCTTCTCTGGTGTAGCTCAGTAGTCAGGTCCGCAGAGCCCGCTGACCCACCTGGGTTCCACGCCCTGTTCCTGAACTGACTAGTTGTGACTGTGCAAGTGACTGACCCGCTCTGTGCTTACCACCCTCATCTGTAAGCCAGCCCAGTCAGTGTTAACGCCTCACAGAACCACCAGTGTTTGATGTCTCAGTGATCAAACGTTGATGTCATCGCTACCATTATTATCATCACTATCTGCAGGGGCAATGTAGCTTCAAAGAAGGAAACCAACAGACACCAGATGACAACATTCAAATGGCTCCTAGTCATCGTGGGAGTTTCCATGGCTGAGACCTTCCCATACACCTGCTCCTGGCCCTAATCGTCCCATGACACCATGTCATAGTCATCTGCATTCTGCACAAGGGAAACTGAGGCTCGGGGTAACACAGAGGACATGAAGTCATGGCCTCTGACACCAGGCTCAGGACTTGTTCCACAGGGCGCTCAGATCTGAAGGGTTAGTAACCAGGACCTACCCAGTCCACAATGAGGATCTTGCTGGCCTTGCCCTGTTGTTGCAGCTGCCGGCAGGCGATGGCCACTGAGTTGAAGAAGCAGAAGCCCCTGGTAGGAGAGAGAGATCCTGCCAGCCCATTCCCTTCTGGTGCCCCCACCAATCCTGTCTCCTCTCTCTAGCAGCCCCAGAGCCTCAGGGAAGGAAGGGGAATGTCCCAACAGGCAGGGCCTGGGGATCTGGCCCCCATCTTGCTCCTCCCACACCTCCCCCAGGGTCTTACATGGCTGTGGAATGGTCTGCATGATGTCCTGGGGGCCGAACCACAGCAAAACCATTCTAGAAACAGAAAGAATGCTTGTCAACCAAACAGATGGCCCTCTGGCCCACATCCCCATGACCCTTGCCCCCCAGCCCCACGCTCCTCTCCCAGGAAGGGGCCACAGGGTGATGGCTGCCAGCCTGTCCAACTGCACCCAGGCTGGATAAGGCACCCTGTGCTCCACCCCCACGCCAGCACCCTCTGCTCTCAGTCTGGACATGAACACGGAACCCCCAGCCTGGGGTGCCCTGGCTGTTATCACTTGTAATGACAACAGCTACTGCTTATTAGGCTAAAACTGTGTACCTGGCGCTGGGCTAAGCACTTTGTAAGTGCTGCATGCATCTCATAACATCTCTCTGAGGTAAATGTTATCTAATCCTCGCAATTTCTCCATGAGATAAACAGTAATTTTATCTCCAGTTTACAGACAGGAGAAATCTGAAGCTCAGGCAAGTTAAACAACCTGTGCAGAGTCGCCTGGCTGTGAGCAGTGGAGCCAGGATTTCAAAGCCCCACCCAGGAACCATGACACGGAGACACTGAGAAAGCCTTGGGCTACAATCAAAACAAAGGGGTTGTGGGGGGGTGGGGCATGCCCGGGAAAGGTATTAGCCCAGAGCAAAGGAGACTGCACCAGCCTGGTCACCAGGCTCAGTTCTGCAAAGGACCGACCTGAGGGGCCCAGAGGCTCCACACGACTTGCCGACAGTCACATGGCGTGTCTGGGCTGAGGGATCCTGAATAGGGATCTGGTCTCTTAGACACAAAAGGCCCAGGGGTCACAGTGGCTTGACTGCTCACCCGGTAACAGTGTTAGGGGGAACTAATTCCATTCAGGCTTCGTGGACTCCACCCCCACTCCAGACCAAAGCCATCAAGACATTGGGAAAGACAAATCCCGTCACCACCAAAGGGAAGGTGGCTGGGACCTGAGGGTGGAGTTAAGCAGCCAGGTTTAGTATAAAAACCAAACACGTGTGCCTTGGGGGCTCTCGTTCTGTTGCTCGCCTCCTGGCTTCACAGCTCCTGGCTCGCGGCCAGCTCTCAGAGTGCCATTTGGGATTCCTGATCGGCGGATCGGGTAGGACGCATTTAAAACTTTGTCTCCCACTTTTCTCCCTGAGCTGTACATTTCCTCATTTGCCCTTCCCTTGTAAATAAACCTTTTATTAACCTTTCTGTGTGCCTGCAGTAGAGTACTGATAAGTCCTTTTAAGCACATGGGTGAGGACACACAGTCAGGCAACCCGTTTTGTATGGGGGCTGCCCTGTAACAACAGCTATGGTCACTACACTGCTCACTTGGTCACTAGAGCTCTCCACTTCCCTTCCAAACCCTGGGTGCCAACTAAGAGAATGAGATGCCTGGGGTTCTGGGTGTCCAGCCTTCAGCTCCTCCTTGCCCCATTTAACTCAAACTTCCTACCTTTAGCTCTCGGGAAGCCACTTTGAAGGCGAGGTCGGTGACGCTGCCGGCAGCCCAGCGGGCTGCGTTTGAGGAGTGCAGCTCATTCCAGATGGTGTCAGTATCCACCTGTGGGGGCCAGAGTCAGGGCCCGCACTTCATCCAGGCTCCCCACAGGATCCAGGGGCAAGGGGGCAGAGCCCACCCCACGGCCAGGACCCCAGGGCAGGGAGCTGGGCAGACAGCGCTGCTTCCCCAGTGCCCCACCGCCCAAAGGCAAGGCCTCCTGTGTCCCCCAATCCCAGCATGGCTTCTTCCCAGCTGCAGTCCACATCACCAGCCCATATCTGGCCAGCACTCTGCTGGCAGCATCGCTCCTGCCTCCCCGGTCAGAGGAGGGAGCATGGCGTTACCTGGGCGGGACTTGGGATTTGGGCCGGGAGGGGGTTTTAAGCCCCAGCTGACTCTGCTCAGGCCCTGCGGGACGGTCGGAGCTGGAGGGGCCGTCTGCACCACTGTCTTCCACTCAGGGCCCCTAGCCCAGGCTGGGAGGCCCCCCAAACCCAGTCCCTGGGCCTCAAGGCTAGGGAGGGGCCGGGGGGCATGATGGGGAGATGGGGAGGGCGAGGCGGACCAAGAGAGGCGAGGAAGGCAGAGAGAGTCGCAAGAGGCTGGAGAAAGAGAGAGAGACAGAGAGACAGAGAGGGAGAGGAGGGAGGAGAAAACAGAAGCAACAACAGTTGGAAAAATCAGAAAGTGGCAAGAAATGGGAAGTTGTGAATAGGGCACTGACTGGCTCCCCAAGAGCCCCCCCCAGCTACAGCTCCCATCTCCCCTCCAGAACTAGGCCTCCATCCCCTGCCTCCACACACCGGACTGGGAAACCACTGCAAGGACCTTTTGAGGACAGGAGAGTACTGCCAGGAGAGGCAGGAAGTCCCCAAGCAGGGTGAGGGGAGAAGTAAGGCTGGCTGGGAGGCTGCATCCTGGGGAGGGATGTGCCTGGATCACCAAGGACCCTGAAGGCACCCCACAGCCCGAGCCTGGAAGCCCAACTCTGCCCAGAGGCGCCACTGGGGTCTTATGAAGGGAGACACCCCAAGCCCTAATCTTGACCCTGCTTTTTGAACCTCACTCAACTTTTACCAAACACCTTCTACATGCGAAGCACTGGCAGCTATATCGGGAGACACCGGGTCAAGGGCACACCTGTCCGCAAGGAGCCTCCAGCCGGCAGAGAGGCATTATGGGAAAGCCCGCCGGGGCAGGGCCGGGGACGACAGAGGGGAGACCCAGAGACGATGCCCACTCGAGAGCCCCTGGCACACTTACCCCAACCCCGCCACAGGGCAGCATCACAAACATCCGCTCTGCCAGGAGCCCTGTGGGGAGAGCCCAGTCTATGTGACTGCGCCTTCTTAGTCTCGGCTGCTGGGGGCGGGGGCCCCGAGGAAGAGGGCTGGGCCGGATGTGGAGGTCAGGGTAGAAGTGGGTAGCGAAGGGCATAGGGTGGCATGGGGATGTCTGGGATCCCGAAAGGACAGGCTGGGCAGAGCAGGGACCAGAGCACAGGGGACAGCTGGGCGAGCAGGGTGGGTCCAAGTCTCCCTGGCGCCATGGGGTCTCTACCTGGCAGCTTCCCGTTGTCCAATTTGAGGCGGCTAAGGGGATTGGTGCCGTAGAGAAGCACATGGCGCTCTGAGTGAACTGCCTGCAGCTCCTCCAGGGAGGCCTTGCGGCCCCGGAGACACTAAGGAAGGGCGCACAGAGCTCCTCAGTCCCTGTGCACCCCAGCCTTCATGCCCACCACCTAGCCTTAGCCTGCCCCCTCACCTCACACTGGCTCCGGAGTCCCCGCTCCTGCAGCCGAGACCAGATGCTCTGGATGCGGCCGGCGTGCTCCGGGTGCCTGCTGTTGTCTCCGCAGGAGCACTGGTGCTTTAGCATGACCGAGTCGTACACCAGCCCTGCAGGGAGCAAGGGTCAACACCCCCATCCGGGGAGTCCCACCCTCTGGGCCACTGGCTACAAACAGAGCTCATGCTGGCACCCCCACAAACAGTACCCCCAAGGAGTCAGGCCCAGGACACCCCATCCTGGCCCCTCACACTTGACACACATATGCACACTTATCCAGAAAGCCTCAGGCACCCCACACACACCCACACAGTCCCAGCCAACGTCACTGTCACAGCCCAGCCTCCCTGGCGCTGCCCTCCTCCCACGGCCCCATGTGTCTAACTTGCTCAGAGTCTAACAAAGGGAGGTTTGAGGCCAGGGTCTTACACCGGATATCATGACTCAAACAGGTCACCAAGAGGGCAGCAGGGGGGAAAGAATTCCTAGGAAAGCCCCAAACCAGGAGCTGGGAAGCCTACAGTGACACCGAGCCATGTGACAAGACTGATACAATTTTGGGGAAGTGACCACTTCGCCTGAGCAGCTGGATGCCTAGAAGAGGGCCCGACCACTGCTGGGAGAGTCCCTGTCAGCTCATCTTAGGACATCAGGCACTGTCAGAGGCCCAGGGATGTGCTCCCTAAGAGTGATCCTCAAGGAGACAATCCTTGTATGCATGGACACTCGGATGAGGGAAAATGAATGACAGTCTAACTGCCCCATCGATAAGAGATGTTTAAATAAATATAAAATACAACAATGATACACGATCTATAAAACGAGAACCACCACCTACTGCACCTGCCTCATGGATGCTGTATGGGGCTAGCAAGGCACAACAGGGCTTAGTGTCCTCAAGAATGTTCTGAGTGACACCCCGATCTCTGCAACCTCCAGCCCCTTCCTCCTGCCTCACTCTAAACCCCATCTCACCTGTGGTGAAGGGCAGGGTCCTGGTGGGGTTCTCTGAGCTGGAGAGGATGCGGGCCTGGCTGGCGGGCTCTGGTGTTGGCAGCGAGGCAGGTGCAGCTGGAGACGACTGAGCCCTGGACAGGGGCCGGTGACCACCCTGGGCCAGGGGAAGCAGCACCGAGCTCCCAGTACCTCCACCGGTCAGCCGCCGGGCTAATCGCTGCTGCTCCCAGAGGAATACCTGGGGAACACAGGGCCTGAGCCTCCAGGCTCTCGGGATCCTACGCAGTCGGCTTCTGCCCAAGGGCTTTGGAAACCTTCAGCCAACTACTTTTCTGAAGAGATTCCAGAATGCCTCCTGCTCTGCCTTCTAGCAAGCCAGATCCCCAAAGATCTGCACCCAGGGCCTGCAGGACTCCAAAATCAGAACCCAGATAAGGGCCTCACGCTCAGTTCTAACCAGGAGCTCCTCACATCCAAGGACGTTGCACTGCCCAAGAATATGGGAACCGATGCGAACCTCTGCATGCATGTGAGCAGCTATCACAGGCTATGGGCTGAACTGTGCCCCCCCCCACCAAATTTATATATGAAAGAGCTAAGCCTTCAGAATGTAACCTGTGACCTTATTCGAAAATAGTCTTTACAGAAGTACTCAAGTTAAAATGAGGTCATTTGGATGGGCCTTAATCCAATGTTACTTTTATCCTCATGAAAAGAGGAAATTTGGAACGTAAGGCAGAACGAAGATAATGTGAAGACACATGGAAAAGACAATCATCTATAAGCCAGGGAGGAAGGCTTATTAGCACACTCCTTCCCTCGCAGTCCTCAGGAGGGAGTGACCCCTCAGGAGGGAGTGCTTAAGCAACAGAAATTCTGTTGTGGTACTTGTTACAGCCACCTAACAAACAGACACCCTATGGTTTCACTCGCAATGAGCGCGCTGGCTGAAGCACCTGAGCCCGGCTCCACCCCTTTCTGCCTCAGCCACTGGCACAGGAGAGGTGCTGGGGTAGGCACACACAGGGCTCCACAAGGCCAGCCTCTGCTGCACAGGGCCCCGGCTTCCCCGATGGCGGCAGGCTACAGGAGTGCAAGTGTGTGTGTGAGTGTGTATGTATGTGTCTTCACAGTGTGTATAAGCGTGTGTGCACAAGCATGCATGCATGCATGCGTGTGTGTGTTTGTGTGTGTACCTTGTATGGACTGAGAGGGCAACCACAGACCCAAGCTGGCCCTAGTGCCGATACCCTGTCTCCCTCCTTCCATCTGCACGCCAGGCCTACAGTCTTCTGGCTGTTGCTTTAGAGTGACAGCTGGGCACTCCATACCTGTTGGTGCTGCTGGAGAGGAACAGGACCTCTGGCCTCGTGCTGCCCATGGGTGGGCTCCCTGCGTTCCGGGCTATCCTCCACCACTGGCCCTACGCCCCCACCATCCGTCTCCAGGTCCTCAGTGGACGGTATCTGCCGCAGTCCGGGCTTCTCACTCGGCTTGGCCGACCTCTGGAGAGGGGAACACACCAGCTGAGAAGCCACACTGGCGTGTGTGGTGTGAGGTGGGGTGTGGTGGGCAGGGCGAGGTGGCCACCATCCTGCTGGGGGCTCCTGGGGCGACGCAGCTCATGGCTCCCAGAGCCACATTTCTCCGGCCCTCCAGGTCCCTGCCCTTCCTAAGCCCCCCTCTTTCAGTCCCCAAGGGCCCAGTTAGGCAAACCATCACCACCTCCTCTCCCCAGTTCCCCTCACCTTGATCAGCTGGGCGGCGGTGCTTGGGGGCAGGGGCTCTGAGCGGGTCCGGCTCAGCGGCCAGTGGAGGCCTGACCCCGAGAGCCGCTCGGTGGTCAGTAAGGACTGGGCAAAGTGGAAGGGCAGGGGCCCAAGCCCGGGCACTGGAAAGAATGGGTGGGGGGGCATAAGGAGGGAACCCTAGGGAGCAATGGAAGGAAGCAAGGGAACAGGGTAGGGGGGCAGAGCCTCAGCAGGGAGACGCACGGGAGGGGGGGTACAGCAGAGGGGCAGGAAGGACGAATCCCTCCCCAAGTTGGGCCCTTGGCCCCAGCCCCTCCCCGGGTGCAGCAGCGGACTCACCAGTCAGAAGTGGGGCATGAGAGACTGAGGGATCCAGAAGGAGAATGGGCTGCAGGCGAGAGGGCAGGGGACCCCCAGCCTCGGGCTCCAGGCCATGGGGCAAGAAGAGGGGAGCATGGGGGCTCCCCAACACTGGTCCCCGAGGGCCCAGAGTCGGATGAGTCCTGCGGTCACCATCAGCCTGGGGAAGAGGTGGGGAGAAGTCACAGGGGAGGAGACTCTGGCAGCGAGAACAATGAAGGCCACGGGCTAGGCAAAGGGAGGGAAAGATGCCAGGGAGCTTGGAGTGGGGGAGGGCACCTCAGCCACTCACCCTGACAGGAGCAGGAAGCCCCAGTGTGATTGCGGGCAGCAAGGACACAGTCGGCAAGGCGAACGGGGCCAGAGAGGTCTCCTGCAGCCGCAGCCGCTGGCCCAAGAGCGCCTGCCATGGGGAGCAGGGCAGGGGTCACTCGTCCCAGACCTCTACCCCCGGGGATGCCTTCCCCAGGACACCCCAGAGGCTTGGGTGGGCTGCCCCAATCCTGTGGCCTCAACCTAGTTAGGGCCACTTTCTGAGAAGGCTGAGCCTCCAAGCTGTCCCTGGACAGTGTGGCAAGGCCTTACCTCTGAACCCAGCCCCGGGTTGGGGCCATGCTCGCTGTCATTAGGGGAGCTGCATCCTGAGGCAGGTGTGCTGCTACTGCTGGGGGAAGAGTCTGAGGTTTGGGGAGAGAGGGAAGCAGTCAGAGGCCAGGTTCCTAGTTCTAGATACCTGGGAACTACCCTCCCTTTCCCAGTAGGCAGTGTCTGTTTCCTGCTTTCTGTCCGGAAGGGCAGCAAGCCATGTTAGGCTCCAGCACTTTTAAAAAAGGTGCTCCTGCTTCTGGGCAGACATCAGCCTGATGTCTGATGTCAGACAACCCAGCAGGGTCTGGCTCTCAGCCCTAGCTTGCTCCCATGGAGCACGTGTAGGCCGGACCCAGAATAAGGAGGTATGGCAGCCTTCAGGAGGGGACCCTATCCTGGGGGGAGAAGACCAACCCCCACCTGCCCTGCTGGCCCTCACCCCCAAGGGCCTCTGTAGGCCTACCCCGGAGGCTGGGCGGGGCACTCTCCTTTCTGAGTAGTGGGTTCTTCCTCCGCTCCAGGGACTTCTTGGGCTTGTAGCGCAGCTTCAGGTTGGGCTCAGAAACTGTGGGGGCACAGCATTACTAGCCCTGCACCTACTCGCTGCCTTCCTCCCGCTCCCTTCCAGCCACTTCTGACTTAAGGCAAAAGAAGGCAGAGGCAGGGAGAAAGACACAGAGTGCTGACCCCCCAGCCTACCCCCAGCCCAGCCCGGCCCTCCAACCCCCCACCTTCCTGGCAGGACTCCAAGGCCCTTCCCCTGACACCCTGGAGGGTGCCCCACTTTCCCTCCAGCTCACCTGTCTTACGCAGAGGGAAGTGCTCTGGGGGGTCACTAGGCAGGCTGGGAACAGGAGGCAGAAAGCTGCTCAGCATGGAGCTGGCAGCTCCTTCGGTCTCCAAGGGCTTGAGAGTCCTGTGGAGCGAGCGCAAGGCTGCTTAAGAGTGGGGATTCCCAAAGGCCTGGGAGACACCCCACCCTGACAGGCTCTCAGCATTGTCCCCAGGCACTCTAGGGGAGGCAGTGGCCCCAGGAACAGTTAGGGAGACAGTGCAGTATATATGCCACCTCTGAGCTGGACCTAGAAGCCAGCACCCCAGGGCTTGGGTGAGGAGACAGACACAGGGGGACAACCTCATTGTTCCCGTGGGAAGAAACTGCTCCAGGAATCAGAATATTTTTGGCAGAGGGGAAGATACAAAAATGAGAAGAAATTCACTGTTGAAGAAGAAAGTCAGCATGGTGTGCATGTGCCTGTGCCTGTGTGGGGGTAAGGGCCTCAAGTGGGTGGGGAGAGACCATTACAGGAGAGAAGAGGCGGTGGGTGGAGGGCTAGAGAAGCCTTCCTACCAGAGGAGTGGGGACAGGATCGCTACAGGGCAACGGGAAGAAGGCCGAGGAGGGGAGCAGGTAGGAGAGGGAGTTACCTGTAGGGAATGCTGGGGCTATTGCGACGGACTGTTCTTTCTAGGGCTGCCTGCTTCTTCTTCAGGATCACCTCTGCCAGCTTCTGCTTCACCACACTGCTGGCTACAGCGCCTACGGGGGTAGAGAATCAGGAGTGGGTCAGGGGTGGGTGGGCAGATGGCCTCCCTGGCACACTCTCTACCCATTACCCTGTCCACACCGTACCAGGAACTCCATGGGCAAGAGAAGCAAGGCCTCCGGGCCTCCACCCACATTCACAGGCAGAGTCACGGGAAACCGGGGCTGGACGCACTCCCACCCAGCCCACACGTGCCCTTGACATGGCAGGGCACCGCCAGGGAGCCTTCTTCCTTACTCCGCTTGCTCTTGTCCTTGTTGAGAAGCTGCCGCAGCTCCTGCTCCTGCTGCCCCACTTGTAATTCGGGCATTGGTGCGTCCCTGGAGAGCTGTGGGCAGAGCTGTCACTTAGGAAGGGGCAAGGAGTGAAGGAGGGTCTGGGAGACTAAGTGGGGAGGGACTGGGGGCTGAGCTCAAGGCCGCAAGGCAGCCCGGAGCACTCTTTACCCTCATGGGCTCCGCTGAGTGCTGCTGCTGCAGGCCTGCGAGGAAGAGGTGGTGGTGCAGGCGCTGGGGGTGCTGCAGGGCCAGAAGCGTGGGCTCTGGTGGGGGCTCCACCGAGGGCCGCTGACCCACCCGCAGGTCCATGGGCTGGGGCAGGTGGCCAGACGAGTCAGCTGGGGGCCTGGGGCAGCCTGCAGACACAGGGGGAGGGGAAGTCAGCAGGACCATTCATCCGCTGGTCCTAGGTTACAGCCTGACCAGCTTCCTTCAGGCTCCTTGACAATGGTGAAACACCCTCCAGGCCATTTCCTTATGTCATCCTCACCATGGCCCTGCAACATGGGTATACTCCATTCCATTTTACCCATGACAGGAGCGCACACCAACCAGGCACCGCTAGTTTACTGCTGGAGGTGTCTGAATTGAGCCTCCTGACTCCAAGCATAGTACTTTCCAACTGTGGGGATTTAGCGAAGGACTGTTGGCCCCATGGTGATATATTCTGGGCTGTCTCCTTCCCTTCTCCCTGCCCAGGAGTGAAGATTTGACCCAGCTGCCCTCTAATAGCTGCTCTCAAAGACAGCACAGTGAGCAGAAATGAACATTCCCCTTTGTCCCTCTGACCCCCAGTCACCACCCTTCCACTGTCCCAGGCCACTGGGTGAGAAGCAAGGTCTCAAATCTAACATGGGCCCTGGCCTGCCAGATGGGCCTGCACAGTGTGTATGCCCATGGAGCCTTCCCCTGGTGCCCTCCGCCAGCTGTGGGCCTGGCTCAGGGAGGACAGTAGGCTTGGCTGCCTCCTCGAGTGTCCTCTGCACCCACACGAGAGCACTGTGATAAGGCCATGGGTGCAGGGCTATTTATAACTAGCCACCTGACCGGGTTCCATGCCAGCACAGCCAGCTGGGCCAGGCTGGGCCAAAGAGCCAGAGCTGCTCAGAGGTGGAGCTGCTGCAGACACCTCTCCTGGAGAAGGGGGAGCAGGTACACAGGGTCAGGGCACACAAGTGGGAAATCCTCCCAAAGAGGTCTTCTTCTGCCTATTGAATACTGGACATCCCCCAACTGGGCAGCTACCTGCTGTCCTCTGTGCCTGAGGCCTGGAGAGCCTGAAAAGGCAAGGTAGCAAAGTACCAGCAAGGATTCAGGATACTCTGCCTCCAGGCCAGCACAGCCACTACTAATCTTAACAGCTGCAGCACAGGTGCTTGTGTGTCTGCAAAACCTAAGAATTCCATTATCCCAAATGAGGAAACTGAGGCTCAGGGGAAGGGACCTGCCCAAGGCTACCTGGCTCAGGCAGAGGAAGCATGGGCACTAGTCCTAATGAGGCAATGAACCCGCTTCATTTTCCTACCCACTTTCAGGAAGGAGCCATCCCCTACTCCTGCCCCTGGTTTCTAACTGGGGGAAAGAAAGAGGGACTTGCAAAGAGGCATCAACTTCCTTGAGATGGAAACGAGAAAGATGCTGAGCAGGGAAGTACCTGCCACTCTCCTCCGGATGTTGAGAGCACGGGGATGGCTATATTGCCCACGGCAGGTAGTAGGTGCTTCTGATGCCCCCACCTCTTGTTTATGTGTCTACCCAGGTAATTCAGGTCCCCATTCTGGATGAGTCTGGGCCTCTGACACCCTAGCAAGAGTCTTAGTCCTTCTGTATCTGGTGTCCTGGCTTCCTGCGATGACTCCTTGACTATGCAGGTCATAATCTGCAGGCAGGCACCACATCTGAGCTAAGTTACACAGGTTCCCTGAACCAAGTCAGGGAATCCAGGGCGCAACCCTGGGACCCTCAACCCGCAGCTTCAGACACTCAACGGCCCTACCCCTCACTCACAGCACCATCACAGAGCAGAGGCTGCTGGGAACACAGGAGAGGCTACGCCTGCAAGTCTGGGAAGACCTCTTGGGGTGACTTAGCATTTGGGGGATCTCACAATCTGCTGCTATCCTGGCTTCTCTCAACTTTGTCTATTGCATCTGAATGGGAACCCTCCTCTCCCTGAACGTGAGCCCTCCTCCACAGCCATCAGCTCCACGTCTCAGGTACAGGTATCTTTTGTCCATTGAACTTTTACTCAGGGAGCCAGTCAGTGCTACTCTCACCCCTAGATTCTATTTTTCCAGAACTCACCCTTCCTTCCAAGCCAGCTGGATCCCTCCTCTTCCCTGCGCCCAGCCCAGTGCCTGCCTCGTCTGGATTTCAGGCACGGGGCGCATCTGTGTTCTTTAGCACCTTGTGGGCAGGTGCTGCATCTGAGTTAAGCTCCACAGGAAAGGACCTGTTTTTGCTCAGGACCCTAACACTGCAGACAGCACTGGGCAAGCAACAGGCACTCAACAAACACTGGCTGAATGACGAATCGATCTCAGGATCTCCCCTGAAATGCCTAGGAAGGTGCCCTGGCACAGAGGCAGGGTCTATTCATGTTATTTTTTCCCCAATTTCTGTATTAAGTTTCTAGAAAAGTACACATCTAGGACTAAATGACAACGGGTGGTAATTTAATGTTTCTTGAATGAATTTACTAATCCAGTAATTAAAATTCATTAATTAAACTCGTTCGGTTTAATAGGGAACTACTATCTTTTCTTCTATTGCACACTAATTTTATTAGTTATTTTTTACTGAAGAAAAAAAATATATACACTCATTAGTTAAGCCTCTCTCATTTGGCACTGATCATATACTGTATTCTACTGTTATCTTTTAATTTGTGTCCTGTCTCCCGCCCACCAACCCGTCTATCCACTTTCGGACAGTCCTGACTGAAGCAGTGCGGCTACCTGGCCTTCATGTGTCCCCATCACGTGCCCTTATAGGTCATCCTCTGCAAGGGCCGCCAGCAGGCCCTCACATGGGAAGGGGCACCCTCATCAGTCCGGCGCCAGGCCCAGGGGCATGTACTACACCACAGAAGAGCAAGAAGTCTGCTCCCTTCCTTGCCCAGGGCACCTGACAGCAAAGGGGACTTGGGCCGGCAGTGGGAGGAGACAGAGAGGGGACCAAAGAGAAGGGGCCCTTCCCCAACCACCTGGCAGGGCTGGTATGCGGACTAAAGGAGCTACAAAGGAAAAAGCCACCCAGCCCACAGCCTGACGTGAGGCAAGGGTCTGAGTATAAATATTAGGTTCCTACTTGCCTTCCTGTTTCACAGCACCCAGCAAAATCAAGGGGAGAATCCTGCCTTTGCTTTTCCTGTTGCACTTCCTAGCACTGGGACCAGCCTGGATCCCAAGCTGTCTCTCTTACCCCATCCCTTTCCCTATAAAACCCCAACAGCCCCCTCCCTGGGACCCCCAAGTTCCCAACTCTCTGGCCAATCCGCCTGGTCCTCTGCTGTTCAACCCCTGAGCTCCTCGTCCTCCAGGACCTTCCCACTCCTCAACTTGCATTCCCCACGTGTGTCCTCAGGTCTGACTCTTACCTGTGCCAGGGGCACTGTGGCAGTGGGCACTTGGGCTCACCTGGGTCCCATCTGCAGAGAGAAGAGAAATGGAGTGAGGGCATGGCAGAGAGTGCCAGCGGTGGGGAGAGCGGATCCTATTCCAGCTTGAGCACTCTAAAGCCTGGTGCCAAGAGATTCCTTTCCTCAAATTCCCAGGCTGAATAAGAGCGATCCCTAGCTTTCTCCTCCTCAACCACCCAGAGACTCAGATACTTCACCTGCCGGAGTGGGAGTGCAGTCCCCAGCAAGAACCTGGGAGGCCCAACTCCCTCAGCAATGCCCTCAGCATCACGATGCGCTCAGGTGCAACCGTCCCTGGGCAGCCAAACCAGGCTCTCCTAGCCCTGAGGCGAAGAAGAGGGCTGGAAGGTGGGGGCCAGAGGTGGGACAGGATAGCTGGTGAGGCCACCAGGAGGGTGATAGGGAAGAGCTGGCCTGGAGAAGGGGTGTTCCCATCATGGGGGAGGAACTGGGTCATCTGGAGTCAAATCTGGTGGAAAATGTGAAAAAGTGGGTCTGAAAGACACTGCCCGAGGACCCTACAGGGAGGACCCTTTTTCCTCTCTCTCATCCATCCTCTGTCCTGCAGCCTCTGCTCCCCCCAGGAGACAAGCCCTCAGTTTTTATCTCCGATAACCTGAAATAGAGCCTTTCCTTCTGGAAAAGGCCCTCTCCCCAGGTTCGAAGCCTAAGCCTACACCATCCTATCCAACTCAGAGCCCGTGAGACCCCACAGGAAGGGCCAAGCTGGGGGACAGCAGTGACCATGAGGACCCAGAGGCTGGCCAGTGGGGGAAGGCAGAGGCAAATCCTGACGTCCTCTGTCCAAGATGGGCCCATTACCCCCTGCTGTCCCCACTCAAGGCCTGAGGGCAGGAGACCGGGAGGCCCCAGAGGGAGCATTTGGTGACACAGAAGCCCTGCTCGGGCTAGAGTCTGGCCAGGGGGGTATGTTCTGAAGATAACTGGTATTGCTTTTGAGCCTGTGTTTAAGGGGTAGCCATAGTTCCTCTTCCAGAAGCTCAAAAAGGAGAACTCCCTGCTGGCAAGCACCACGGGGCAGGCGGAGGGGGGTGGGGGTGAAGGGGGGACTCTAGGCAGGCAGACTCCTAGCAGCTCCCCTCAATCACGAGTGTCTGTGTGCTGGATGACAGTTTAGTAGAAAAACGCTGCTCCGCTGATTCAAATTCTTCTCATCCCTTAAAGTCCAGCCTAAGTCTCAGGAAGATCACCCCAACACCCCCTTGCTTCCCACAGCACCCACTGTGTCCACCACTTCCACAATTCCCATTAACCATGGTCTCTGGTACCACCTGTAAGCCGTGCCGGGTACATGCAGGTTCTCGTGGGAAGCACGGAACTGAACACAATGATTCTCTCCTGGCCCCCTGCCTAGGACGGGGCATGAATATACCACAGGGTTCGTTGGGCCCTAAGGAACCTGGTGCAGGAGGCAGCCTGCCCTCCCCAGGACCAGTAACCCTAACCTTGGGATTTCTTAGGCCCGCCTCTTTCTTCTGCAGGACCCCAAGAGAGATTTCTGAACTGGGTTCCTGAGTGCACTCCCAGGGGCTGCGTCAGGCTGAGTCCTGTGTCCCCGACCCCTGCCTACTGGGAACACTCTTCCTCCTCCCCTGCCTGCCTGCGGGCTGGTCAGCAGCATTCACGCTTGGGAGCAGGGCCAGGTCCCCTGCCTCCCTCCCCCTGGTAACCACGGATTCCGGACACCATGCACTCTCTGGATAGGAGGAAAACTAATGACCCTGAACTCTGTAGTGTTTGTCACTGGGCCCCAAAGGGATGTTTTGTGATGATGATCTATGATACAATCTCTGTTCAGAAAGGCTGCACGCATGCATGTGTGTTGGCAACAGGGATTGCTTCCAAAAGCAATTCCTGGAAAAAGTTCTGCTTCTCCCCCAATGTCCTGACTTTGTGCTGATAGTCTTTGAGTTCAGAGGAGCCCAGGGTAACAGAGATGAGACCAGGACACAGCTCTCCTGTGTCTCGGAAAGGAAAGGTGTTTAGAGGCACCCAGAAAGTGCTGAACTGAATTCTGCACCCCAGGCTTGGGGCCCAGATTCATCAGCCTCTCTCACGGAACTGTTACCATCAAGTTGGTGAAATAAAACCAGGGGTGAGTGGACTTCAGGGTCTGGGAGCAACACTGAGGGTGGGGCCCTTCTCCACCCGTCTCAGCCAGGGTAGTGTTTGTGGGGTCCATGCTACACCTCATTCCACGTCTACCTTCTTTGGAAGCAACTGCAGTCAGACTAAAGAGGCACTGAGGTACCTGGACCTTCAGTCACCTTCCAAGCCAGAGCACCTGGTCTCACCCAGAACCAAGAGGCCCCAGAAATCCTGCCCCAGTGGGCCAACCCTGGCTCTCAGAGACCTCCAGAGGAGGGACGCCACTACTGCTACCCCTGAGCACCTGAAGCGGCTGGTCCTGGGCCCTGCCTTGCTGTTCTAGGCCCTCTTCAGCCTCAGGGGCTGCAAGCGGGCTGTATAAAGCTGTGAAACCTGAGTACCCCCTGACCACTTGTTCTCCCAGATGCTCCAGGTCCTTTGTTGGGTTGAAGGGCTTCCCTAGGAACTTGGTTAAGCAGGAGCCCCTCCCAACACCTCCGAAGTCTTATTTTGAGGCTGTTTCCCTTTCACTGCAGACTCCTGACTAGCTGAAAAAGGAGTAGCAGGGAGACCTGGGTTCAGGCAAAAGGACAGTGGGCAGCAGCAGGAAGCAGGGCCTGGGTTCAGGGCTGACTCCCTTCATATATCCTAAGTTGCAGCTCTGGTTCTGCTTCCCTGTGAGAGGCAGGGACAAAGCGCGACTCCACATGGGGGCTGGCAGAGAAGCAAAAAGCTGAGGGTGAAATGGCTTCTGAGAATAAATAAACATGAGAAAGAACATCCTGGTTGCCAGGCCTTTCTGACACAGGGAGGCCTGAACATGAGGGAGAAACTTCTCGAAGACATTTGGCTCAAAGAAGCTGAGACTGTTAGGAGCTGGGGCTTTAGAGATGGTTCCTTCACAGAGGAAAGAGAGGAGAAGGGGAAAAATCATGGTCATCTGGTAGGCCAGTCAGTGGTAAGGCCAGGATGAACTAGACCCACAAAGTCCATTGCAAATACAGGTATTAAGTCATGGATGAAGTCATGGGTCTGGGGAGAGGGGGCGGGGGGGGGGGGTTGAAGAGATGGAAATGTGAAGGAAACCTGGTTTTCACTTTCAAAGAGCCAAAATTTAAAAAATAAATAAAAAGTAGACTCCTTGCTGAAACTAAAAAAAATTCAAAGAACCCCCTAAAGGTATAAAAGAAGTTAATCTCTCACCCGAATCCCTAGAACTTCCCTAGACTCAATCCTTTTTAATAATTTCTAATGTCCCTTTCTGAAAATTCTCTTCCTCATTATTAATTCAATTCATAATTAATCCTAGCAGGTGGCAAATTACAATGGAACTGAGGGCCCATCGCATTGAGGACACTAGCTTTGAGGTCCAACAGACATGGGTTCTAACCCAGAATCCCTCAGTGACTGCCAGGGACAGCCAGGGACATGATATAACCTGTTCCAGCCTTGGCTGTCCTGTCTGAAATAAGAAAATAAGAACATCTACTTAAAAGAGGTCATCTGAGATTAGCAATGCTGTGTGTGAACCACCCAGCCCAGAGGAGATGCTCCTTCAGTGGTCATGGCTATTACTGTTTGGCCTGGACTTGTCTGCAGCCTCCCTTCTGGCATAAACATTACAGTGCTTGGTCCCAGCTGTATCCTCTCCTCTGCTTCCACAGTCCATTTTCTTGCAGATGCATACTCTGGCCTCTTATCTTAACCCCTGCCTCTCCCAAATACAGTTTCTTCCCTTTCTCTTCCACCTGAAAATTTGCAAATTAACACTTTACTATGCACCAGAGATTGTTGCTAATTCACCTAACCTCATGACAAAAAAATGATGTGGTTGCTGTCTTCATCCCCATTATACAGACCAGTAGACTGAGGCTCAGTAGTATTAAATAACGTGCCTCCCTGGTGGCACAGGGGTTAAAGTCTCAGTGCTATCAAGCTATCACCAGCCACTGAGGCTTGAGTTCAATCCCTGGCCAGGGAGCTCACCAACATAGTGCAGCAGACCTCTCCTGTCTTACCTGCTGCTCCCCTCAGCAGTGGATTTCAGTAGATCTGCCTGTTCTGCTCCCCATTCTGTCTCTGGTGAATCCTCTCACTCCCCCCACACACCTTTGGCCTACACCCCAGTTCTTGAAAGCATAAATATAAATAAATAAATAAATAAATAAATAAATAAATAAAGTGTCTGAAGTTACACAACATGGAAGTGCTTGTGCCGGGACTTGGGGCTCCAGATTCCATGTTCTCAACTAAGGCTCCTTACTGGCCACCAGGTAGGGAGCACAACTGGGACCTAACTGAACACAAGGGAAAATAAAAAAACATAACACAGCACCACAGAGATCCATACCAGTGGCAAACACGAGGCCTGCACCAGGCTAGAGGGCAGAAGCTGCCCCTTTCATCGTTGCTCATGTCTGCCCTATGAAGACAATCCCAAAGAGTCACTTGTAGATAGCAACTGCTGACTTGGCATGCCAAGCCACGATTTCAGACTGCATGTGGGAAAATCGGACAGGCAACAGCTTAGGGTCTTAGAGGAGCATCAGACCCATTTTCCTTGTTCTCAGGTGTCCTGCCATATCCTCCCTCTGGCAGCCCCCAGGTCCCTCTCAAGCCTCACCATCTCCTTCCCGGCCCCATCCCGGCCCAACCCCCCATGCAGGCAATGAGGCTGCCCACAGGAAAGGAGAGACTTGGCTCACAGGTGACTGGCCTGGGATGTAGGCCTACGCAGACCAACGCCTCTTGTTAGTACAACGTATGGGCCAGGCTCAGAGGCTGTGGCCCAGCAGGAGCGGGGCTAGAGGGCCAGGCCAGCCCTCCAACTCTGCAGACGCGCATGCCCCTTTCCCCAAGCCTGGGGCCCTGTGGCAGCTATTTTTAGCTCTTGACACCTG